CTGGGAGAGAATGATTTCTGTATCTGTCTGCGTGAATCGTTTCCAGAATTGAAAACTAAGAAATTAAATCGGATTCAGTGGAATAAAATCAGACGACTGATGGGCAAACCCAGAAGGTTAGTGTAAGACTGGATATAGTGTGCATGTCACACCCCTCAACTTTCACTTGAACTCTTCCACACATGCATTCTTTCTACAAACATGAAACTGTATAATTGTGATTGGTTGAGTTCATATGTAAAAATGATGGGTGTTTTTGACACCCCTCAACTTTGAATTGAATTTTTCCACACATGCATATTTTCTACTAATTTAATACTATGATGGCGCTCAATTGGAGAGTTCTGAACAAGTTCCGTCTGTTTCAATTTTACCCCCAATCGAATATGAAAGCAGATATGTTAATTAAAAATATTTGCCTTCTCAGTAATCATATTGTTTATGTCTTTTTAGATGTTCACCAGCGTTTTTTCTAGAAGAACGAGCGGTGCTGGCTGAGAAGAGAGATAAAATGAGGTTATTACAACAGAGAAAATTGAACGAGTTTAATAATCTTAAAGACCTACCTGATGAAATACCATTACATTTAGTTATTGGTACCAAAGTAACAGGTAGATAAAAACTTGTCTTAGAGGATCAGGGGTGCACTACTAATCTTATGTAACAAAATATTGTTTTCAGGAAAACATGCAAAAAAAGAAAAAAAAATGTTTAGGATTGATGAGGATAACATTATTCCTCACCATAAAAAAATAGATACAGTTGTTAATCATCACAATCAACCACACAAAATGACCTCCCTCCAATATTTCTAGATATCTTTTACCTGCATTACAATTAATTCTGACCCATGTAAAATTAAGAGTTTATTATTATTATTATTCAGCTGTCAATTATTCTCGTGGATCTATGAATTGTGATACTGTCTCAAGATGTGGTAGACTTTTCCTGTGTATATTATGCATGTCTTTATGCAACAATATAACAATATTTTAAACTTGGTTGTTTTTAATTTCAGCTCGATTACGTCAACCTCAAGATGGTTTATTTACTGGTACAATAGAAGCTTTAGATACCAATGATAATTCTTATCGTGTTATTTTTGATCGTCCAGGACTGGGTACACATTCAATACCTGATATTGAAGTTTTGGTATGTTTGATTTTAAATGTACATAGTCACCAAGCCAAGCTATTTGTAAGGTCCTATAGCACAGTTGGTTAGAGCATTGTTTCTTTACATGAAGTCATTTGCTTGGTTTTCGTCGAGCAAATGGTG